AAGGTCCATCTCATAGTGTAATCACAAAAACTGCTGATTTGAAAAGAATGCTTTTATTCTTTAGGGAAATTCCTTTTAATTCTTTGTTAATTTCAGATGAAAGACTAGAGAACACAAGAGAAATTTGCGCTCTGGTTGATACAAATAGGAAATAAATTTCACAGTTAGTGAAAGGAGGAAAAATATTTCCAAGCCCCGTTTTAGATGCAAACTAAAATTTATCCAAAAGTTGAAAAGGATCCCCTATGAAGCCAAAGGGGTTGAAAATCAGAATAAGAGCTTTGAGGTATATCAAATAATAAAATTTTTTAACGGTGTTTCTTCCTGAACAAAAAGATATATTACAACCTATATTTACAAAAAATAAAAAAGGGACCCTTACGGTCCTCCGTGATCTAAATTGTGTGTGCGTGGAGGGGGGGGGGCAATTCTTCGTATCATAGTATGAAGCATGGTTTTTTTTCACATATTATCTAAAGCATAAAGTACAACTTCAAAAATGCAACATACTTTCTCAGCTGATTACCCATAAGTATGTTCAGCTGGGTTGCATCATCAAAGTGCATAAAAACATAAATTTTATTTTTAAAATTTTAAATTTCTGCCGAAATTTAAGAAAATTTTGTCTTTAGACTTACATAACTATATTCAAGCACTCATCACTACAGACGCACATCAAAAGTACCCAAAATTAATTTAAAAAACAAAGATTAACAGTTGGCAACTACCTGGAAAAAAAAATGTCCTAGAGGGGCGCCGGTATAAAATATATACCGGCTCTCAAAATTCAGGATTTTGCTCTAGAATTTTTTTAAGTCTCAATTTTGTGTCCTTAGGGTCCATAAGTTATAGTTCATGCAAAATTTTACCACTGTTTAAATTATTTTATATACCACCCCTCAAAGGGTTAAAAAAACAAGGAAATAATTAGCTTGTTCATTACTGCCCCAGCAACAGAATTGAGATAAACTACTTATCCAACTATATTATCTTGAGCCTGTCTATGATTTTAAGTTGCTTAATCTGGATAAATACATATTACTGTACTGCACCACAAGTTAGGTCTTCCAACCTTGAACTCTTTATGTTCTCAAAAATTATGCATGAAAGTACTCATCTGGTAATTAAAAAAAATAGCTGTGATAAAATGCATCACTATCAGAATAAAGTGTTTTCTCGATTTTCTTCAATACTGCACCAAAATATTTTAGAATCATTTAAAAACCAATCTGAAGAAAACCATTTTTTGAGCACTCTCAATGCATTCCTTCCAGTCATATACATACCTTAAATCTTAAGAGATATTGAACACCTTTACAGGAACTTCCTAGAAACTAGAAAGCTTCCTTCATGATTCTACAGGTAGTAAAAACATCAAATGAAATTTTTCATCACCAATGGCAAACTTCACAATGAAAATTTTAAAAGATCCACATAATATCATAGCATCGCCAACTAGATCTGTATCCTCAAATTCATATACACTAATTTCGCAGTTAATTCTTTTTAGATTAATAGATTACATAAGCAAGAGCATTTAGTTTTTTTGTGTATTACTTTAGTACCAGTAATTTCAACTTTTTAAAAAAATCCATGTCCTTCAATTTTAAACAGATTTGATGGGAGAAAAACCGTTAATTCTACAATCCTATAATGGTTTGGTTGATTATGTCAAAGCATACTAGGGCTAGAGGAGGATTTTTTCAAGAGACATTAGCTCATATACACATGGGGAAAACCACAAAAACACCCATGCAGCCAGTCCATTTGCCTGGAATTGAAGCCAGATTGAACTACCCAGTGTTCAATGATTTTACTGCTCATCTGCTGGTTTAAAATCAAAAGCTATTAGGTTAAGATTAACTGCTAAAATTTCTGTAGATGAAAAAATCTTAAGTCACAACATGTTCTCTCAAGATCTGTCAAACTTTAAGAATTCCTTTCATCTGGTAACTTGGGACAGCAAAAAAAATTCGCAGAAAGTATCGCCGTATAGAACAATAATCTCTTCTTTAAAGTTTATATCAAATTCCCAATACCTGTCGCATTATATACATTTTCTTATATGCACACTGCTCTCAGTTTTGTAAATATATACAGTACAAAGTCTGTAATCCGGACTCATCGGGGCTTCGGATTATAGATCAATTTAAATCTGATGAGATGGCATGCATAAATTATAAAATTAAAAATATAAAGAGCAATTATGATCTAAAAAGTATCAAAAGGATAGCTTAATATTTGTTTACTTTATTAAACATTTCTTTCAATGCAAGTTGTTTAAGTTGCTTCATTTTATGTGCTAATACTTTCTCTTTAATTCTATAAACAGACAATTTCTTGTTCAGTTACAAAGTTCCACTTCTCAAGTCCTGTAATTGGTGTGCTGAGAATACCGACCAACTTGTCAATCTAAATTTTTTCGTTTCCACTAACCTCTGTCACTTTCTTCATGCCTTTATCCACTTTTTTGCAGCAATTCCACTTTGTTTGATGGACATCAAAACATGCTTTCGTTTTGTAGATCCTTTGGCAACTCCAGGATCAGAAACTTTTACATAATCGAAAGTTCAAGCTTATTTTTTTATAAAATTGCTCTAACAGTCTACAAAAAAACAGTTGGTTAAAAGGTAGCATAAACCACTCTAGCTCAGTAATTGAAAATCCGTCCCTAGAGAAATGAAATATAAGCTGAAGCATTGGTGATATGGAAGTATTGCTCAAAACACATTCTTAATTTACTGCCATTTAATTGATTGCCTTTTGCTCTCTGAACTGAATTGCAACAGATTTTATCACACATAATAGCTTCATAACCGCATTCTGCACAATCGATATAAGTTTACAGACCATATCCCTAATCAAGAGCTAAAGAACCCAGCAAGCACAAATTTTTACAAATTGCTGGATCTGAATTAACAGTCTACTTGCAAGGTTCAGATTTCAAGCTAACGTATCTCATTTTATAAGAGTTCTGCAATGATGCATTTTCATCTTTTGCGATGTTATAAACACGCCCTTTACGAAAAGCATTGACAGACATTACTCAGATTTATGGAGTTGTGCTCTACAATGGAAATAGCTTACTGTGAATTGATGTTGCTGAATCATCCTCAGATTTGTAGAGGACACTGACATAACAGAATCTTCAAGGTATCATCTACATATAATCTATATATTTTCTGAAGATTATAAGCCAAGCATTCAAACCTGTCATTTAATAAATTGGAAGAAATGAAGCCTCAATGATATGTCACAGCATTATAGAAAGCAGAAGGTAAAACTGCCATCAAAATTAGCTTGTAATGCCACTGCAATAAATTAAAGCAGGAGAAAAAATTTACCATTGTCAAAAAGAGTTAAAAAAAGTCTGGTGATCAGAGAAAAACGCAATACGGACTTTTTAAAGAAAAGTGGATCACATTCACACTGCCATGCAAAAACCATGAAAGCTCCCATTTCTCTGCCCTTCACAGGACTTTGGCCCCATATCAAATCACCTGTGTTTAATAATTTTGCTGCTGGTTCACACCTCTTAAACCTGCTCCAACTATAACTAATACACAACAGGTAAGGTGTAATAAAAATTATCAGTGCAGTTATATATGTTACAAATTCAAAATCTGCATCTGCATACTTCTCATATATGGTACCATATTAAAATGACTACAGTAGAAGACCTTTCCAGAATTTTATAGTCCGAATAAATTTTTCAAAGATTAAATTCTTTCAGTTATATATTTAACTTTTCATTTTAAAATTGCAATGAATTAGGAGCCAATACAGTTTTTTTCGTTAGTTCATTCATTTTGCATTTCCATTACATGAATCCATCAGGTTAACTTTACATTTTTGCAAAACCAAATTTCGAGTCACCAAATAGCATTTTGTAGTTACAGCTTTTTTTAAAATATCTACCTGTATCTTGGGTAATTCCACATCAGATTGATGTGCATTTCCTCCCCCCAAAACTACTAGGAATTTAGGGTTCAAATGACCTTCCTTGAGAGCTTCTGCAGCATATGATTAAGAACTTTATAATAATGAAATGCATGTGCAGATACACTGGATTGGATTATTGCAATTTGGCACAAAACCTGTCAAGGTTATCTGCACCAGAAAAATGGTAACAATGCAATTAGTCATTTGTAAAAACGACCAGCTTAGGTAAAGAGACAGATTACAATCTACGATAAAAGCTGATATCTTTTAAAAAACAGGTTAAAGTCTATTATAAAAGCCAACATCTTTTAAAAACGGAAACAAATTACGATGTGTTTTTCCAATTAAATTTCCCAAGTCCGGTTTTGAAGGCATTGCACCAAGATATGATGGACCGTCAGATCTGCATTGCAGTTTGGATAGCTGGGATTCTCTTCTCTCTTCAGAAGATACTCATGGGTCAGGCGACGATGGCCAATTCTCAGTCGAGTCAAAAGGACATCCTCCTTTCTATTAGCCATACATGGTGTGCAGATAAGAAAGTACACCACACAGGTGCAACTGAAATTAATCAATTTCTTTGAAATGCATACACTGTAATGTTAATCTGTATGCAGTTTAATACATGATATTCCTCACCTGAACTATTCACAATTTTTAAGAGCCAAAATGAGTATAAAAAAGGGAAAATACATGAGTAAATACAGTACAAGTTGAAGGAAAAATTCCTTCATTAATGAAATTTCTAAGCAGTAAAATTCTTCTAAAGTTAAAAAATAATACCATGGCAATTCTAGATGAGGCAGAATTCCACAAAATCGACAATAAATTTAATCTTTAAAGTCTTCAAGACAAAATTGGATTCGGATGCAACACATCAAAAGAATTTCAAATGAAGCATATTCAATACTACTTCATTTCAGAATAAAATAATTCAAAATCGAGGTCACAATACAGAACATTAAACTTCAAATTCCAGTTAGGTTTCACACAAAATATATGTATACATGTAGATGAATTGTCAAAATTTTTAAGTTGATATTAATATAATGAGAAACTAATGAAAAAACAAATTTTATTTCAACACCATTTACAATGATATACAAGAATTAGTTTACAAAAACTATCAAATACACAGTCAGAAAAACACACAAAATATTGTCAAAAATATATCTACATATTTCAGTGCAAATATACAACATTTATTACAGAACATGGCAAAGTGATTTTATTAAAAGTACTTAACACTTAGGACAATTAACTCTAGAGCTTATAACAGAGGGGAAAATATACCAGTGTCAAAAAGTTCAGGTACAGTTAAAACTGTTTTAGCATAAATTAAGAATTCATTAAAAGTTATAATGCAAGATTTTTTAGAACACATAGCATTCTTACTCACATGGTACAAATGAATACATTTCAAAACGATTAAGTGATGGCATAAACAAGTTGATAAAAAGTACATTGGTACAGTTAAATATACAAATATTTTACCAATAGCAATAAAAATTTTTTGCTAATGAAATTTATCATCAGTAAGGATTAGCTGTTTGTTTATAACTGGCATTTTTTGCTCCAATGGTTAAGCCAATGGCAAAGCAATAAACTCTTGAATCAATTATAATCCCTTGTTCATTATATTCTGAAACAAAGAAAAAATTAATCACTGTATACACATCTCTAGAATAAAATCATACGGTTAAAACATACTTTCATACAACATTTGCATAGTCTTCACACAGAGAAATTATGAATCAGAATTAAATAGTTTGAATAATATATTTTTAGTTATTCAATAACAAGAGAGAAACTAGATTTGCCATTACAGGTTAAAAAGATTAGTAAGTATAATTAAAAGGTTTTCAAAATAACTGCTTTTAAAAAACTACTAGAACATACAATTACACAACTTAAGATTTAAAAACTTGAGAGCAAAAATGAAACATTTCTTTATTAAGAGAATATTAGATACCATAATCATTAATGCAATAGTTAAAACAATAAGAAAAATTCAATAAGAAAAATTTTACAATTATAACTAGAGTTTCTATATAAAAACAAGCAAATAGTCTAGCAGGCAACAAGGCAGATTTTTCAATGCACAAAAATGAAAAGTAATTTTGGTCCCACTTGACAAAAAGACACTGTAGATGCAGAAACAATTTATTATTCTGCCAAGTTTCAAATATAAACAAATATGCAAAAATGCTATGGTAAACAAAAATTAGGCTTAACCACACTGAAACTTGGATTGTTGATAATTCTATAACTACTGCAAGCAGATTACCTAAAGGCATAAAAATCTTGAAAGTTCAGATTAAACAAAAAAGTTAAAAGCATAAACTCAAAATTCTTTTTCAAAAATTACAAAAAGAAATCATTTTCCCTTACAATAATATGGGAACACCGTTACTATATTATTGCATGTATCTTTTATCTTTCTAGATTACAAGTCATCAAGAATAGCATGATCTTAACATGTGAAACTGAAATTTAAGAGGCAACTAGCTACAATAAATATGAGCTATTTCACTACAAAAAGCTACATTTCCCTTTTTTGCATTTATTAAGTACACAATCTTTTTTACAAGGTAGTTAAACATGTTCTGCAGCATTCTTCTCATTGTTTGGAGGACATTCCTTCATAAACAAGTTAAAAAGAAAGTTGAATTTTTTTGGTTGGTTGGTCTATTTAATTATGGCAAAGCACTTGAGGGCATGGATGCCTTCGTAAACGAGCTTCTAAGCGAAAGTGGCTTATATACATGCCACACATAAGGAAAACATGAAAACACCCATGCAGCCAGTCCATTTGGTAAGATTCAAACCCCAGACCAAATGACTAGTATTCTTTTTGGAATGTAAGGGTCAAATTTGCTGCAGCCAAATAATTTTTTATCTACAGGATAAACGTCTTTCAGGGATTTTAATAGATTCATACAGCATATGTAAATGTTTATATTTTGAAACAAAATTTATTAAATGACATTTTACACAATTACAACATTTAAAATTTTTACACAGATTTAAATAATAATTTTATTTCTGAAATGCCTTACAATTACTTGCATTTACTTTAACCAAACATATTACAAACAGTTTAACAGTATTAGTATTAACAGTATGCATGCTCATAAGGATTTTTTTTTTCATTATAGATCTATTTCATGTTATATAGCAGATCAAGTAGCTTTCCTTTCAATGCATCAGATTTAATATGAAATTTTTATTAAATGCATCTAAATTTGGCAGTGTATTTCAAATTCGTACAAAAAAAAACACATTTTACGAACAGGTTTTTATACAGAATTTAAAATGATTTACATCATTTTTAAAATTTAGCCTTAAAAAAACCCTCAATAGCATAACCCTTAGTGACCCATTGCCTACAGTGCCCTGATATCTGCTTTCTTGAACGTGTGCCCAGGGATGCACGAGCATATACCCTGGACAAGTGGTCAACTTATCACATGACTTCCGGTGTTTAGTCCCCAAATAAACTCGGCACTCACTTTATCACCCCCACTCAATGGATGAAAGGCTGAGTCAAACTTGCTTAGCCCAGGAATTGAACCCCAGACCTGTGGTGGTAATGCTACATGTGTTAGCAACTTCACCACCTGGCCTAATTTAATAACCATTAAAATAGGACTATAGGTTAGATGAATATTAAACAGAAAAACAGAACTAGACAACTGGTTAGTTAACCAAAAAGAAAAGGTTTCATGCTTTGCCTAAAGAGGGATAGTTCAAGAGGACACCAAAACTGGTGTGTAATCACTTGACACAAAAGGAAAGTGTAACCCCCCCATACAGTCCATATGCTAGGAACCATAAATGGTTTAAATTACAACTCAGTCTTAGCTTCTTGGGTAACAGTGAGTACAAACTACAATATTTGTAATAAAAAGCAAGATTCCATTTCTAACGATGTATGACAATATTTGCAAATAAATTACTACAATACAAAGTCAAGACATCCAATACTCCAATTCAATATGTAAACCTCCTGACCACCAGCAAATTTAGAAATATTTTGGCGAAAAGGAAGGTGTTTGGTTCCAAGAACAGCATATACTTAATGCTTCATACATGTATAGACAGTAGACTTTTTTCATAATAAAGCATGTAAAGACTCGCGATTCTCAATTTTACCTTCAGTGCCAAAGATATTAAAAATTGAAAACGCATTAGTGCCAAAGTTCAGCACTGAACTTTGATTGAACTTTATATTGAAGAAACAGTAATTTAGCAGAAATCTGCATGACCAATAATTTGGCTACTGCTTGGCATAAATCTCAAAGCAAAACATTTCATACCTGTTGAATATCAAATACTTATGCCAACCTGCCAAATATTTTTATAATTTTTTGTTCTTATCACGACCATCAACTCGGCAACTTGAGAAATGACAGCAATTTGCAAGACAAGTTTTGCTTTAAACATTGGTAATCGAATAACAAACAGCATGGTAACCCTTTTATACCGACAATACACTTGGCAACAATTAAAATCTCAAGCCTATTCTATTATGAAGTGCTATGTGTGTTTATGAACAAATTTCTAAATAGACTTTGTAAATGATATTCATAGGCCTTAAAGTTAGACAATTTAGTGCTTTTTGAATTAAGAATACCTGATGTGGTCTTCAGATAAGCTTTAAGGGTACTTTTCCATTATGCACCTGCCATATGTATTGGGCACATAGCAGGTGACAATTATATCACATGTGTGCATCTGCACATACACAATATGCTTATAGCTAGAAACTGCCCAAGATTAAAAAGCTGGCAAAATACATGGCAAGTTCATCCTAATAAAAACATACCACCTTAACTATATATATGGCAATTATTTCATGGAGACTGATAAGCTTTAAGCATATGTCAGAAATATGCATAAGTATAATAAATAACAAAATATAAGTTAGTTTTAATTTCTTCAGCATGCTATAGGAATATGACAAATTTTAGTGAACAATATGTCTTTAGCCACAATTTTCATGCCATCACCAATAGAATATAGCTGATGCTCAAATTTTACAACAATAGACATGAATTTAAAGGTTTCTAGATAACAAAAAACGAAAAAAAATTTTCAATTAATGGAATTTGTGAAAAAATACAGAGAAGCGGTAATGAATGAGGAGATAACAGAAGCACTTGACTCCAATGACTATGTTCCAATAACCTATCACCTAATGGATTGCAAAATCTGCAACATGGTCCCAAATACAGAAAATTCCATTACCAATTGTGAAGAAAGTAACAGATTACTCAGTGAAAAAATAATTTAGTAGGAATTCTTAACATGGTAATTACAGGACTCAACTTCTGCAACTGAATGAGAAATAAAATTAAAGAGTAAGTATTAGCACAAAAATGAGCAAGTTATATTGAAAGATATTTAATAAAGCAACAAATATTTGCTTTTTGTAAATTTTGGATTCCTTAATTGTCATCAATGCTTCATTATTTCATAATTTTATAAATACTAGATTTAAACATCATTTAAACATCAAAGCATGCCATCATACTAGATTTAAACTGATGATCTAAAGTACGAAAAATTCCCAAATCCAGAATCAGCAAAGTCTCTTAAGAGTCTGGATCCAACTCGGTACTGGATTTACTTCAGATGGATTATAAATTGGTGAAAATTAAAGACTTCATTAATAATAAATTCCAAGTTGTAAGAAAAATCATTTTACCATTCAATCTTGTAAGAAGCTCATCTACTGGAATGTGAACTACTTCAATATTTTCTGAAAAATAAAAGCATATTTACAAATTTATTCTAGACTGAAATGTGAAAATAAATGGCAATATGTAAACTTAAAATCTGAAAACACAGAAACTAAAACAGTCCCAAGTTTCCTTTGATTAACACGTTCTTAATTCTGTAATAAAACTTCAGTAACTCTGGCTAGAAAATTTTACACGCATAATAAAAAGGAATATAAAATTTCAACTAAAATCTATTAATTATATTTAAAAAATACTATAAAGAAATATAAATACAGGTTAAAATATATTAATGACTTAAATGGCCAAATTTATCCTCAAACAATCCCTATATAAAACTGATCTAGTAATAAATCACAAATCCAGAGTTGATCAAAGTTTTGAGAGTTCCACATTTCAGCTGCAATATAACAATGAAGAAACAATGGATCAGATTTTAATGCTTTATACAGCTTCAGGTTATAACAAACTTATTTGTCTCAATTACTCAACTTTACCATTTGCTGCCAGATGCTACACAAGACTTAATTTAAACCGGATTTTGACATTGTCAACTGCATTAATATTTAACAGTCTAACAAAAAGCTTCAATAATTACAGAAATTATATGTAGTACAGTTCTAATCCCCAAACAATCACATCATAAAACCTATTATATTTTATATGCCATGAATTTCAATGTAAATATTTTAACTTGTTTGTACTAGCCTCATTCCCTCAGCTAACAATTTATGAAAAAAATTTTAAATCTTAGTAATTATACTCAATCACATATCTTATTTTTTTTAGAAGAATCATGCTTTTAATGCATAAAATAAACCTCTCAATCTACAAAATAATTTCACTATAAGAAACAAACTTGCTTAGCTAAAGAATGTTTCAAAAAATTCTTATGATGAAAAGGAACAATTTTAGAATGCACTTCCAAATCAGGTCAGGTGTCTGAAAATGAAAAGCTAATAGTTTTCCCAAATTAGATTCCTATGCAGATTTTAAGCAGATAATCCCGTTTTTTTTTTTTTCACATTTTAAATGTCAAGCTATAGGGGGTTCATCTACCGAGATTTTTTATGCTGTACAGTGGCATCATTTTAAAATAGAACTCAAAATTCATTTAGATTTGCTTTATAACACATTCAGTTTAATTTATACATTTTACAGTCTTTGGCTGATTACATTTTGCAATTTAAGCTTTTATACTGAGAAAACTCAGGAGAGGAAAGCTTTAATTTAGGAAAGTACTTTTAAATATGACATGGAAACATGAAATATTTTATTGCATATATTTCACGTTTCCTGTTTCAAAATGAGCCAAATCACTCAACATATTGATGTAAAACAAAATTAAATGATTAAACATTAGGTTGAATTTTCATATAAAGCTTTATAAATGTCAACAATATGATTATGACTGACTATGAAGATCAAATAAAATTTAGCAATAAAAGTTATGCTAAATACCACTAAAGATGGAAAATAAAAATTTACATGACTTAAGCTTCATTAATTTAATAATGAAACAAACTGCAGATTATTTTGCAAAATGAAACAATCTGACGATTTTATTTGCACAACTTAATTTCATTCCTGAAAAAATTTTTATTTTCACTAGTAAAGGCTAAAATTTAAAAGGGAAAGCTGAAATATATGTAACCCTTAATTTCTCAGGACTAAAGTTTGAATACACAAGTCCAAAGAATTTTGTGAAATGATATTCACATTATTAAATTAGGGAATGTTCAGAGGAATCAAAGCAGTATTATTAAATTAAAGAATGTTCAGAAAAAGCCAAAAGCAAATGTACAGTGGAACTTAAGAGATAAAAGAACACCGAATGATCTGACAAGGATCAAGTCCAAAGTCCAAGATTCCCCAAGGTCAAGTCGAATCGGGAAATGGCGCCACACACACCAACAGCCTGGCTCATTGCTTGCTACTCAAGTCAATGCTCACATTTAAAGAAAACATTTTCACTCACTTTCCTCGTATCTCTAATTTCTCGTATATAGAGGTGCTTACATCTTGAGGTCAGACTGTAGTTCAAAATGGTTACAATTCTAAATAAATTTGTTAGACACTCACGAAATGAATCTTCATTTTCCAATTTACTAGCTTTTTGGCATACGAGAAAAGTAACTCAATATACTACAAACATAAAAATTCAGATACAAGCTTTTAAAATGTAGAATCCCGTGAATCCACTAAATCCCACAGAAAACATAACATTTCTGCTGTTATTGCCTTAGCTTTTCAGCCATTAGTCCCAAGCAGCTTAGTAGTCCTTAAACAAAAAGTCAGAATCTGCAAATTTACTTTTTGCAATGGCATCAAAATCAGGATAGTGGGTTATTACTTATAGCATGACAGCAACACGTTGTTTAGACTATCATAATCATGTAATGGAGATGCTATTGCGAACAGTTTACAGCAGTGGTCACCCAAGTTATGAAGCTGATTTACTGTACCATTTTTAAAACCTACTGCGAGCTACCAAGCAAAAGAATTAAACTAACAAAAGTAAACTGAAATTGAATTGTACACGAGAGAAAGTGTAGTTAAATAACAAATGTAATGGTAGATTCTTTTTTAATCTAAAATATTAACTTTGATGAGAAGGATGGAATTCTTTTTGCCATCAAGTTTTCTTAGTGTTAAGAGAGTAGATAATGGCTGCCAGTCAAATACAGTTATCCATATGCTTATCAGCGAATCAGTTTCTGTACTTTTAATATATTTTATACTGGGAAAAGAAATCTCGCAGAGATACGAGCTGAATATTACCTTCACTTTTAAACAAAACTGGACCAAAATTCAGTATTTTTCTTTAGGAAGAAAAGGCCAAATATTTTCAGAGCTTGAAGAAAGTGACGATACAGATATATCATCTTGATAAATATACAAATGTATCATCTTGATAAATCAATCAGTTCCAACTCCACTGTAGCATTATCTTCTTGAAAATACTCTAACACAAGCAGAGAACACTTCAGCATTAATCTCTCTCAAACAATTGAAATTCTTTTGAAATCTTGGAAGTGTTTGTTAAATTCACTACTTTCTTATGAACAGATACACTTGCATAGCACAGTTAAGCATACATATTTGTCCTTTACCCGAGTAAAGTAATCCATTTCCCATTCCGAATGAAAATAAGTTTTATGCTTTTTGCTGTCATTGGAGCAGACCTAGCTCAGTGCATAAACAAACTATCCAAGTTAGAAAATGTCTAATACACATAAGACAATGGCAATCGAGGAATCAGTTAGCCAACCAGAGCGTTGACAAGATCTACCGAAAATGTCCCCGCCAGCTACTTTGATGGTTTGGCAATCACTACAGGCAGATACGATATGAAAATTTGCTATTCTCATAGCTTTAAGTTGGATATAGAAACCATAGTTTTTAAAAAGTGAACCCCAGGACACCTTCCAAGTCAGCAGTCAAAAGACATGTTGGCCAATATATATTCATGCCAGATTTAATCTCAGTAGAAAAATTGACAAGAGTAATAAGAAAGTGCATGGGATTCAATGCAACATCTGGCTCAATTTATCTCAAATTTTAATAACAGCTGAAGACAAAGTTAACTCAAAATTAAAAATTACATCATGTAATAATTTTTAAATAGGCTTGCGAGTCCAGCCTTGCACCGTAGCTTCTGTTCAATACAAATTTCAATTTATTACAATGAAAGGGTAATAGAATTTTCAATAATTATTGATCTCAGCTTACGCACTCAATTTAGGAGAAACATTCTCGCTCCGAAGATTCAACAAGATAAATCGAATACAGTCAAAAGTCTAATCCAGACCTCAAAGCTACAAACTTTCTGCACATGCGTCAACACATGCACATAATGCGTTTACGTATGCATGTTTAATATATAACTGACAGTATAAGCTAAAATTATCTATTTCAGTTAATGTTGCAGATTGCATTGTTCCTTTATTTTCTGTTGCAGACTGCGTTGTTCCTTAATCTTAATCGGATCTTACTAGATCCAGCAATCTTTTTTTTTGCAGACTGTTAGAGCAATTTCATAAAAGTAAGCTTAAACTTTCGATTATGTCAAAAAGAATTTCCGATCCGAATTAAAGGATCTACAAAGCGAAAGCATGTTTCGATATCCATTAAACAAAAAGTGGAATTGCTGCAAAAAATGGATCTTTTGATTTGCCAACCATTCCGAACTATGTTTATCAATTTCACGCTGCTGTGCAAGGGGGAGGACAATGCGGCGTGCAATGAACTGGAAGTTGATCTGTCAGCACTATCCTTATCTTCAGAGCAGATGTTTATTTTATTCGGCTTATAATTCCTTACTAAATGTATTTCATCTCTATGTACTACATCTTCAATATGATTTAAATCAAATTCCTCGCCATTATAAATATCATTAATACACAAATAGTTTTCTGGTTGCAATTTTCTAATTTCGATTATGCGTAATGTATGCTTTACCATGCACCGTGAAAGAAATTTTAAAGTAAACAAATAAATATCAAGCTTTTTGTAAATTTTGTTACCCTTTAGATCATAACTGCTTTTTATTTTATAAATTACAGTTTCATATTTAATTTTATAATTTCTGCATGCCATCTTACCAGATTTAAACTGATGATATATAATCCGGAATCGCTGAAGTCCCGACAAGTCCAGATTAAAGACTTTTGACTGTAGTAATTTTTTCTTATGCATAAGAAAATAAACTTCACATAAGATTCTTACTTTTAAAGGAAGTTTATTACTGAAGCTAGCATTTTATGCACCTATATCAGTACTTATTACAAACTTAAATTTTTTGCTTTTGAGTATATATTCTGCTGTCTTAACATTGAAATTATGTAGCCATGTGTCAAAACTAAATCCTTTATGGAGGCAAAATTCTAACTTGTGTGTGTATATACATACATTGATTATAGCTAATTTAACATTCCACACAAGCACATTTACATTACGATAGGTTCTTGAAAATAACCTTGTAAAAACTTTCCTAGTGTTGAAAATAAAAAAGAACAAGCGACTAAAAAAATTAAGACTAACCAATTTAAAATTTCACTGCTAAGACTTTTTGCACGATTGTTAATTTAATTCCATTTGCACAGAACATGAGGCCAGACTTGGAATATTAATTTCATTCAGGAAAATTCCTACTACTTGAATTTTTATGAACAGCACATTTACTGACTTATTCCTCTTTTTCAAAACTTTACGCTGAAAGTATTTTTTCTTTACCCCTCTGAGCAATGCAGGATTTTTCATCTGTTAAGAGGATTATGTATTTAATCCGAATTCCTCACAATTTTGTACAATTCAATTAATATTTTCCAATTAATATTTTGTACAATTCAATTAATATTTCCATTAATATTTTGTACAATTCAATTAATATCCCTATTTTGCCAATTCAATTAATCCAATTATATTTTTCATCAATTTATTTTCCAATTATATTTTTGTACAATCAATTAATATTTCCAATTAATATTTTGTACCTTCAAACAATTCCATTAATATACAATTAATATTTAATATTGTGCCAAATTCATTAATCTTTTAATTTTTCCCAATTAATATTTTGTACAATTCAATTAATATTTTCATAAAGTTACATTTAATAAGATGAAAATCATGTTATGGAAGAAAGTAAAATATAAATTGTAAGCTAATATGAAGCAAGTGACAAAAAATCTCATGGCCAAATAAAGCCGGTCATGCCACTCAGAGGGTTAAAGAGTTTTTTTAAAAATTCCTATACTGCCTCAAAATTTCCATACTCGATTAAATTCCTAGATTTTCATAATTTCTTCGCAATAGCATTTAAAAATACAGTTCAATTAAACGGCAATTTTTAAAGTATAAGAATTCTATTTATGTGCAAATAATTATAAAAATTAAACTTGGACATGATACGCAAGCTAAAAATTCAACTAGATACCTGAACATTACTGAAATTCAGAGCTTTTTAGAAAAAGCAGCATTTATTTTCCATATACTAAGCTGTTAATTGGCAAGAAAAATCTTCAAGAAAAGTAAACATGACAGCAGAACAAAATTTCAGCAGTTTGAAAAGCATTTAAAATGTTAACTCGGCACATGCACTTACTGGAATCGTGAAGACTTTGTGTGGGATATCGGTTTGCATACACATCACCATCAACCTGAAACAATTATACATTCATGTTAAAAAGAAATTGAATTTCAAATTTAAAGTATTAATACCAGTAAGAATAAAATTGTTAATTATGCATTGATAAGCTTTTTTAAAATGAACTTCAATTATAAATATGATTTATGAAAATAAGATATAAAAGACCTTATAGAAATATTTTTAAACAGTTAAAATTTCAAAACAGAAGATATCTGAAATTTTTGAATTTGTGCAGGCTGAAAGAAAATTCTGATCAGTACGGTTAAGTTTGTTTCACTTTTCAATGCATCAGTACAGTTTAATTACATTATAGCTAGAATATAATTTAACTAAAATAAGTTCTGTTACACTAGATGGCAATTCCAGAAAATGGCTATATGACGTGAACAAATTGTATTTAATAATTGAAAAGAAAATTTAAAATGGCCTATGGCATGTACTACATAAAAATGTTTTTCAAAACTCCCAATTTGATATACAGAAGCTATCAAGGCCTGAAATAAAAGCTTAATATCAATGTCTAATGGTAAAAAATTTTATCTTTAGCAGAAACCTCTTGCAATGACCATTTCTAAATTGACCAGCATTTCACAGAACATTGATCGCTAATCTAAATATTCTCTATAAGAGATTTCATTCAGCTACTTTTGGCAAACTTTTTTTTTACACTCCTTCCTATGGTGTTGTTGCACTTGCCGGCTATTATGAAAACAGTATTTCAAAGAAGAAAGGACTGTAAAAGGCAATGGAACTCTTACAAACGTTATTTACTTGCCAACCAATGCTTGCTACATTCTTTATCTTTCCAATTAACAATTTTATTCATATAGTGGTATTAATATACAGTAGCCAACATTTATTAAGCTCACTGGCTAATAAAATCAGCTGCTTATCATATACAAATTTTTATTTATATAGCAATGTTTTTATAAGAACCAAGACAAATATATATATATACTGTATCAAGAGAAAATCAATATTAAACTTATCTTTGTCACTTATAAAACTCAAATTGACAAGACATTTTACAGTATAAGAATCCTATTGTTACTTATTAAAGCTAGTCATCTACTCCAAAGACCATGACTTATTGTTCAGTTGTGTAGAACAATAAACAAGCTTTCACTAAAATTCGCCCAATGTTATCTAATTGAATTTACTCTTCTCATAATCTCTGCCAGACACTGTCTGCATAGCTGTCCAGAAAAGTAAAGGTGAAGCTTAAATGAGCCTTAGAAAAACTTCATAATCTTCTGTATGTGCAACTTTAATGTCCAAAATGCCCAAGTGAAAAAAAATCCAAGCCCAAAAGAAAAAGATAAATTGTTAAAAGATTATAATGCTTTTGTTAACTGTAGCCAAACAGGAACTGCCTTTAAACTAGGACTTTCCCAAACAGCTCTTATTTACCTAAAAAACTATATGTCCCAAATAAGGCAAAAGATGTGGAAAATCTGGAATTGAAAGTGCCTTTCTAGGATAATTTTAAAATAAGAGGTGTTCTAGAGCTCTTGATCAAAAAGCTGAAGAATCTGCTAAAATGCTAGAGGAGAACAACTGAGATTGCTCACAAGATGAAAAAACAAATGGGATGCTTTAAAAATCATATGGCGAGAAGAAAAAATGCACATCACAATTTTAGCTGACAACTGAAATGGAAAATTTTCAAAAGAGCTACAATATGAATTAAAGTCTTAAGAAACTTATAACATTGGTAAAACTGAGCTGTTTTACAAGTCATTATCAGAACACTCAACAACATTAAAAAATGAAAGAACAGCTGGTTTTAAGAAACTGAAGAACAAGTTAATGTTATTAACATGCAATAAGGATGAAACAATTAGGTAAACACTGGTTATTGAAAGGAATTAAGAATTTGCTCTAACAAGAATTTATAAATGCTAAGCAGTATTTTCAGTTGAAAATGAGACAGTGAACTGAAGAAATAAAAATAAATAATTTTAAGATAATGTGCTATACACAGTTCAGATTGAGTATTATAAAATAAGATTTGTATTCCTGTCTGCAAATATGACTTCTACCATTCAGCTTTTAAACCATGGTATTATTAAAATCATTCAAATATTACAGAAAAGACAACATTCAAAAAATGATATACAAAATAAAAACAGTTCTTGTGAAAATGCAAGCATTGAGAAACAAATTTATCTTTGTTAGAAGAAATGCGTACTATTGTCTAGTGGCCTCAAAGTGTGCATGCTGCTTGTGTGCAATCTGAAAATGGCTGATGGAAGAATTTTAACAATTGTGTTTCAATTAAATATTTTAATACGTTTAAAATTTCATTTATGAAGCATTTTTTAAAATAAACATTAACAATAACAATGCTGCAAAGGAAAAACTTTAAGCATATTTTCTATCTGAAATCCAAAGTTTGATACCTGCAATACATTTTTGTTGCTTACAGTTAGCAAAACAAATATATCAACAATGAAATATCAAATTTTCTGGATGATGCTTTTATTTAAAATAATTCCAATATGTTTAATTAATCATTAAATAACCAATTTAAACTGAAAGATATTATGAAAGCTAACTTTCAGAAAAAATTTCGAAGAATGGCAAAACTTGAAAATAATTCATGACAGCTTATTCTCGAATTTATTAAATTTCGATTTGAAGCATAAATAAAAATAGAAACTTCTTATAGCTTGACAATAACATTGATAACATTTGTAGCTTGAGAGAAATTGCTAGAAATTATCTGTACCAAGAACTGTAGAGTCAAATAGTTTCCTTGTTAATATTCAACAGTGAAAAAAGGCTCTTCCCATGGAAATGTGTTCATGAACAAAGCAATTATTCTTAGTGTAAAAATTTGCAAGAATTTTTTTTGACAAGTAAAGATAAAAATCCATCTTCAAATCTTTGAATATGGTTTATACAGGGTATGGTAAGGAAACTACCTTATTTTAAAAATGAATAACACAAATAGTATAAGTGATATCAGTTTAGCATTTTTTAAAGTTATAGAGAAAAAGTTTTTTAATATGGTTTAAAATTAATATCAAGGTGGCCTCTGTTCTGGTCAATATATTGAGATAATCAAATTTTAAAGTTTCTTTCAACTTTCACCAGCATATCAACGGGTATGTTGTTCATAGCAGCTTGAATATTGTTCTTCAGTTAAGCCAGTCTTTAGACAGATTTCAAATAGCCTTACAAAAAGCAATTATACAGGGCTGAATAGGCAAGCACGCTGGCCACTGAAGATTCGCCCTGTAACGAGATGAGTCTGAAAATGCTCTTCAAAAAACCATGGTCCAATGATGCTATGGGAAATGCATACCAAACAGTCGCACGTTCTATATGGAGGGGCTGATCACGAAGTTCTCGGGGATTCGTGCCATTCCAGTATTGCATATGTTTTGTTTATTCACGCAACCGGAAAGATGAAAATGAGCCTCATTGCTAAAAAACACAAGGGCATCACGAGGTATATTGTCGAGAACGGCTTTGCATGCATTTTTTAATGAAAGGAAATTACATGGATTAAGTTTTTGCACCACTGCCAATTTATATGGACGAAAATGCAGCACGTTGAAAAGTACAACTCCACGGCGAACACGTGCTCCTGTCTCGTCAACTGCATGATCAATACCAAACCTACATGACAAAAAAATTTTAGACACCACTTTTCAATAAGCATCACCCCACTCTTCTCTGAATAAATGTCGCTAGATGGCATGCGTTTCAAATAAGGAAGTTCCACTGCTGCACTCTGTATCACATAGTAAATTAGTCAGCTTCACTTAAAGATTTCCTGATGTGTTATGCACATTGGTTTTTAATGGTAATGTATACTTACTTCAAATAATTAAAATTCTGAAATTTTTAACATAATATTTGCAAGATTCATAATTAAAATGTCTTTGCAGGCCACCAGTTTCAGACTACTGCTATAGGCAATGCATTGGGAATAATCTCAAACATAACTGTTCTTGAAAATTGTTTTTATTTAGATAAGCCTCTGTGGAATTATAAGCTATAGCTAAGGTTTTAAGCATGAGTAAGGAAGTTAAGTATGTTCATTTTCAACATGCATTACATAGAATTGAAAACTTGTAAAAACTGTCTACTATTATTAAAAAAGTTAGGAGTACTGCAAAAACAAACTGACAATGAAAGCGAAAATATGCCAATCTAAATCAAATCTAGAAAAACTGCAAATTTTAAGAACTCTTGAATTGACAGACAATATGAAAAAGTTAGCAGCTTTATAACTTAAAAATGCAACTGAAGAACTTTATGAAGAATATAAAACAAATACACCAGTTTTTTATAAAAGTTTTAAAATTTTATATATGCAATTATAAAAACTCTATAAAAATAAATTTCTGAATTGCAACGTTAAATTTTTACATTAATTTTCAATTACTTTAGGTATAAACTATTAGATGTATTGTTATTTACACTTTTACTCAATAAGCTCGGAGCTCGTATAACTTGCAACCCCTAACTCATCTGAACTCAGCTGCTTGAAAAATCAAATACCTTGGGAACAGAAAAGATTTTATCAAGTAGCAGAAATTATACAGTTTTCTCTAAAATCACTACCTCCACAGAAGATAAAATCACCAGGTGGTATTTTTTGACAAGGGTAAAAAAAATTAATGAAATTACTTCCAAGATTCCTTATGATTAAACCCAAGCCAAGATCCCTGACTTAACATTCTTTTGGTAGTTGCTTTTAACAAATGTAGATAAATATAAAAAACAGACATAGAATAATGGGATGTGACAACAATCTTGATACACCTGCACACCTTTTAAGAATTATCAGATTTCAGGAAAAATTCATAATTTAGAAAACATGAAATTTTAAATATGCATCCATCAGAAACATTAGAAAAAGAAAATTCATTAAAGAAAATGAAGTGTCACATTTTGAAATGAAACTTTGAAAACGAATGGCAGGAATCCATTAGTTGAAGAAGTGAACTACAAACGAAGCGGTAAAATAATTTTTAAAACGACACTTGAAGAAATCAGTTCAATCATACGCATTAGTACACATATTATTAGCTGAACATTAAATGATAGAAAATTTCAAGAGCATATATAACATGCATGTCAACAAGAAATTAACTTTCAAGAACAATGTAAAGATCAAGCTGAAAATGACAAAATAATGCTTTGTTATAAACTACATTCAAATATATGCCTAGCAATGGTTAAGCAACAGCTATCCATCGCTTACAATTTAGCTCTCAGAGTCAGAGATGAAAACTAAGCAAGTGCCATAATAACACTATCTTAATCTAGTATGAAATACAAGGAATGCAAGTGCTTACAATTGAAAATCTGTAGTTCATACATGTTTATTAAATAAAAGTCGCTAAATATAATGGCAGGCAGAAACAAAACTTATTATCTGCATGGAAAATATAATGAAAGTACAAGATTAAAAACATAAACAGTGATAAGCTACAGAAAAGCAGATATTCTTCTCCAATCAAGCACATAAGCCTTTGTATATTAATGCTCTTTCCTGTAAATATATGGCTGGCTGCATTGAAATAGCCATTGGAAAGGATGTAAGTTACAAGTCTTCAGTGTAAACAATTTACTCGAAGTTTTCTATCCAAGTAATTTTACATTTAATATGGAAGATGAACAAGTTATTCTTTCTCACTAGCATTTTAATAGATTTAAATATACTACTTTCCTAAGCATTATTGGCTTAACATCCATACCAATAAAACACCAGACAACATTTCAAATGGTTATCAGCTTCTTACTGCAATCATATACAATACTACTTCAACAAAATCTTATCAGCACGATTGAGTTTTAAAAAAAAAAGCCTTAGTGAAAATATCTTTAGGAAACAATTTTTTTCCTTTTCCTGAAGGAAATATTTACCTCTAGAGTAACTACTTTCATTGTGCATCTGGACATACCCGGATCAAGTGCTGTCACTAAAAATAAAAAATTATAACATTAATGAAAGTCAAAAGCATATATGCAAAATATGCAAATATTACATGCATAATAAAATCCTTTTTGCGAACATATGAAAATACTTTTTCAACCAATGCATGATAAAATTGATCAGCTGAATTATTAACTATTCATATGCCTTTAAATGACTATAACAAAGTATATTTTATAATGTTTCTTAAAATATCTTGCATAGTAGTATTAAATATGTGCAACTACTTAAAAACCCATTTCCTCGTACTTTAACAAATTAAACTAAGGGATAGCAGAATTCAGAAATGTACAAAGTTCACAAAATGTGCTAAATGGCAACAATAGCCACTTTATAGATGCACCAAAAAAGGACTATATACCTCATATCTGTAGGCCTTCATGACAAATTGGCTGCAACAACATTCTATGAATATAATTCTTGAAACTCTGCATTTAATTGCCAATAGTCCCCAAACATGTGAAGAGCAGAAAAGTTTGGTTTATTTGACTATGGCAATGTACAAGGGCCGTTTGCTTAAGAAAAGAGATGTCTTTTTGGAGGACTTTAGAACTTGGCTCATTTACATATGCAGAAAACCACACAAATATCCAGGCAGACAGCATTTCACCAGGATTGGAATTTGGAACCAAACTAGCAATATTGAGCACAACTTTACTGCTTTTCTGCTGGTGCATCAGCAATTTTATTTAATACTTTATTTTCTTAATAATGGTTTAAGTTTTCCTAATTTCATATAAAAAATTTTCCTCACAAAGTCTTGCTTACACAGCCTCTTCCAAGGACCAACTTTTATGCACGACTTCAGATTTTGTTATAACATTTCATGGGACTTGGAAATTTGTACATTTTACACAGATTTACATCCAAGATTGTTTTCCATATGCAGTAATGTTCTTCAGCAATTCTGGTTCACAGAACAGCACTTGGACCTCATTCATTCAGTGTATATGTTACGGTGAAACACCGAAATCTGAAGAAGTCGACTCTCACTGGTAAATGTCAACATTCACGTAGTCACTTGGTGCATGTCCGAAATATTTTCCAAATACTCTTATTTCTGACTTACACCGGTAAATGTCAACATTCACCATGTACTAATGGTAAATGTTGAACATAAGAATATTATATTTTCTTCTGCATAATTCAGTCAGGAAAAAATGCACTTGAGACTTAAGAACTTAAGAACATAAGAACTTAAAACACACAGTACATTCAAAATAAGAAAGGAAAATAATAGAAGTTAAGAACTTACTGAATTATACAGTACATTCTAAATGAGAAAATAAAATAGTAATAAAAAACTTAAATTATGTGATTTAAATCTTATTCATTGCAACAACTTAAACTATTATGGCAGTTTGAATTGTCGACTCCTCTTTTCAACCTACACCAGAGCATATCTGTGATTGTTGACATACACCGGTAAGGGTCCAAATGTACAAGAATGTAATGCAATATTCGATCTTTCACAGACGTAGGCATTCACCAATTTCGGTCTTTCACAGTAACATACCCATAATGCCCCAAAATAACTGGAAAGGCCATTGATATTAGAAGATACTGTCAGCAAACTAAATGACATCTCTATACCTCAAACATTTTTCTATAAATGAGGAAATTAAGCCTAAATTGGCAAATTGTTTTAAGCAGCTTGAAGACTGCATTTCTCAAAACTGAAAATAAATTATACAAAAAATATGATACATAAAAACATTTACAAAGCACCCTATATTTTATGTGTAAACACGAGTTTCCCCATCAAAGATCTTTAAAGATATCCATTAATGTTTTATAATGTAGTCTTATCAATAAACTTTATACAAAATAAATGAAACTTCAAAAATCGGTGAAGAAAACTGGCTATAATGTTTAGTAAGTTTTGATGGTTCTAAGCCTTTTTTTAATTAAAAGCATTTCTGTTTTGACATAACCAGAAAACTTAAAATATTTAAATATATGGATATTTTCCTTCTTTATCCAAAACAAATTCATTTAATCAAATATATTCAGCTCAAATATTTAACTAAGCCGCCTTCAGATTAATTTACTCAAGCAAATAGCTTACTATCAGGTTAAGAATACTTAATCATTTGACACAGAAACGAATTCTTTATAATTTTTTCATACGACATTAACTTAACAATACATACAGCCACTTTTTAATTAGCTGTTTAAAAAACAAATAAGAGCACTGCTTTTGAAATCATTAACCAAAGGACCTAATTTCTTCCATAACTACTTTACAAGCTAACCTGAAAACAACGCTAGAATGACCTTTTCACAATGTTCTTCAAGTTATCCATACGCAGTAAACTAACTGCCCACGGATATTCAATTCCTCCAATTTGCTACACATTTGGAGACTTTTTGCCAAATCCAAACGTATTTAAATAAACTTTTTATGCAGTGAAGCTGCAGGTGAAACTGATAGTTCATCATAGTGTAAAATGTAGGGCATGTTATTCAATGTCTTAATTTATATGAAATATTTCACTACTATCTAAATATGACAAATACTAATTTCATGATATTTAAAACTTGAAACCAGAAGAGTTAACAATATATTCCTTTCAGTTTGTCAAATTTTTTCCCCTCAAGACTTAGTTAAAAGTAAAAAATATAAATTTGGAAAATCTGGTAATAAGTTATTTTCTTTTAATTTTTAAGAGTAATATGCAGCTTATTGCAACCAAAACAGTGAACAAGGGAAAATTTTATTTTTATTTTTTAAAGATGTTAATTTGATTTTAAGATCGTTTAAAAAAACTGACAATATTTTATAGCAGACATTATAAAAATTATATCCTGTATTAATTTTTAGAAAAATATTAACGCTTTAAAATTGTGAAACAACTATAAAAATTAAGAATAAAATGATCTTATAACAATTAATCTTATACCAATTAATTCCCCTAATCAATTAAAATTATAACATTAGAAATATCTTATATTAGTTACAACAAAGCACAAATATTCATAACTAAAAAGTATAAAAATTAAATTCTTAAAAAGTGCATTTATTGCTTTTAAGACATTTGTCGTATTAAACTACAGTTTGCTTGTATTTTAAAATTACAATTTATTATCCTTTGACGAATGAAACGTCTATGCGGGATGGGGCGTGAAAGGTAGGTCTTTTGCTTCATGCAAAGGAATATTTTTACATCTCTCAATTTACAAAAAGCAGACTGACTCGGCTCATTGAGAATCTGCAAATTATATGTGAATAACTGTAAAAGTTAGGCCAAAAACCATACATTTCCTTTGTATAAAAACAACAAGCATATCATGAAAAAAATCTGGTTTTTCCTTTCCTTAAATGGAATCATCTTCAGGTCAAGCACATTAATGATAAAGTTGCTTAAGCCATGAAACACTGGTAGTATGCAGCAAGTTGCATAATTTTCCTCTAGATTTCTGGATGATGAAATGATATGCAATCATTCAATTACTGTTTAGGAAGGGTGAAAGGATGTAATCCAGTCAGATTATACATTTAATCTCGATGAAATTTTCAATGGCAGTCTTCCAGAAAGAATATGAAATTTAATTTAGAAATATTAAAGAATCTCAGCTTAATATTCAGAAGTACAACCCATTTCATACTTACGAGGGCTTGTATGTTTCACACATGATGCTATGTATCCAGTTTCTTCTTTGAGCTCTCTGATAGCAGTTTCTTCGGGTTTCTCCAATGGATCAACAAGGCCTAAATGCAAAAAAGTTAAGATTTGTTAAAAATGCATTGGAATTGGCATTTTACTAGCACTCATTTTCTGAAACATTTAATATATAAACAAGACTTAATTTAAAAAATGTCAAATTTATCTAGATATTAGCAGAATTATCTTCAATTATTTCATACACAATAGTTCATTACTGAAGTTTCATGTTCATAATAATATAAATCACATGCTCATTAGATATAAATCACATGCTCATTAGATATAACCAAAGAGCAAAATTTAACTTTCAGCATCTAAAAATTATGAAGCTACTTGAGCAAATTTTGAATACAGCATTGCTTTATTTCAATACTGGGAAAAGAAACTTATATGATATGATTTTGGTAAAAACTAACCTACTTTAATAAAATATTAAAAAAATAACATTAAAATAGTGTTACTAATAGGCTAATCATGCACTGAAGTTACTACAATTAATAGTTCAACACAAAACTGTTACAAACCACGCCACTGACAGATAACTGCAGATGTCTTTTTCCCCCACAGCACCAGAAGAAAGATTAAGACTGTTTTAGTAATTTGAGTTATTGCTAAATATATTAAGTACTCTTGCAAGTGTTTAATTATTTTAACAAATGCAGAGTAATTATAAACACAATGCTAAGATTGTATTAATTTTAGATTTTAGACAAAAGCCAAGCAAAAAAGAAAGAAGCACAGCATACAAGATTAAAATTTTAGAATACTTCGACAACAGCTGAAATACAGAGCAAATTCCTAGTGCAGAATGGAACTTCCATATACATTCTGGACTATTTCAATTAAATATATATTATTGGATATACAAATGAGCATACAGAAACTCAAAATCAAAAAGTTTACTCGGGTCATACAGATGGAAAAGCAGGCTACAGATGTTAAGAAAAAGTACAAATATTCATAATGGAAAAAATTAAATATAAGCAGTTAAAATAACAAAGCCAAGATAGCTGTCTAAATTCTGAAGTACGATCTCATGCAGAATTAAACAAGTCAAATTCATAAACGTTTGCCAAGTTTAATATTTACAGATAACTGATCAAATAAAAAATAAGTCATTAGTTCTATACCTATGGGATAAACCTCTTAAAAGTTTCAGAAAATATCCAGAATAGATTTTCAGTATTCAATTTTATAACAATCATTCTTTTAATCATTTTATTAAATATTCTCACATCATTAAAATAAGTAACAAATCAAAAGTTGGATAAAGAGAATCTAACATCAACTTACATTAGTTTATTTGGTTTTAAAATAACTAACTACAATATTTCATTAAAAACAGCTGAAATTACCACAAGTAGAAAGTACTGTCATTTTTGATAGGTTATTCAAACATGATAAAGCCACAAGGGCTATATGCCTAAGAGATGGAGATGCCTTCCCACACAACTTTAAGAGGGAAACTGACTTTCATATTATTCAGAGAAAACTAATCATGCAGCGAGACCGCCTGGGTTCAAGTCCAAGCCAAATCGAATTACCAGTATTCAGCAGGCTTAATCACCAAGCTACTGGTGTTCAGTCATTTTTGAAGCACCAATGAAAATACAGATTTGTGTTACCAACATCTGCATTAGTTCAATGCATTTAGCCACTTTTCATTTTTGAAAACATAGAAAATCAATAGAAAAAATTCTTTTAAATGAAACTACATGCAGCACTTAATGTGCACTACATTAAATAATATTACTGAATGTATTACTGTATAGTATATTAAATACATGCAGCATTAAATTTTTACTTCAAAAAAATTAAGAATGTTAAAAATCTGTATCTGTTGTACACTAAACACTATAGATTGTATTATTGTGTAATCTGTTAAATACATGTAACAACACATTAAGTTTCTACTTCAAAAATTGAGAATATGTTAAAAATTGTTTTTAATACGGAAGGGTCAAAGTTTTGTTGCATGCCTGTTAGCCTATATCATTACTTCCAACTGTCATGGCAGACTCAACCAAGTTTAATTGGATATGAAGACATTTCGTCTCTTCTGGCAAAAGTGATCTTTATATGGTATATAACCATTACAGTATAAACAGATTGACTGTACTCAGTTTCTGGTGTAAAAGCTTACAAGATTATCTGTACCAAACCAATGGTTAAAGCAAATATTAGAAATTGTTAGAAAACTGCATACATGCAGTTATGATATAATTTAGGTTAGATAAAAATAAAATCAGATTAGTTTATGATAAAAGCAAACATTTTAAAAACTGGAAAAATATATGATGAAGTTGTTTTCTTATTCTGTTTTCTAAGCCTAATTTGAAATGGTTAAAATGTTTCAAGAGAAAATATTCCAGTAGAATATGATGAATGCCAAATTACATTTTGATTTGCTCCTCTTGACTTTCAGAAGATTATCATAAGTCACGTCATAGTGACAAGTTCTCAAACAAATTATAAGCACTTCTTTCCTCTTACTTAGCATAGACTACTAATACTTTTTGCTTGATCATCAATACATCTGCCATTTATTGAGAATTTTACATTTGATCAATGTACTGAAATACGAATAAGAATTGAAGGTTAGATATGATAATAGCAGCCTTAGCTGCAATATCTACTAATTCAATCACTTATGCCAGCATTGCCAGGAATTCAGGAATACAGAACCTTATATCCCAGACATTTTTAAAGTCTGGGATTTTTAAGCTAAATCAAGTAACAATAGGATGTGAACTGCAAGTCAGATCTTTCAATAGCATTAGGCCACTCAAAGAATCTACAAATAATGAAATTCCTGCAACATTGTTTCAAGAGCAAGATTAAAACCCTATACACTACAGTAAGTTAAGAAGTGAAAAACAAAGCAGGCTGGGTGTCAACAAAACTCATTTTTGCTACTATAAAAACTACACTAACATGATTAAGATTTGGACCTATCTGTATAGAGAAGGATGTAATTTCTATATTTATGCCTCCATTTCACAAAAATCTGGCTGTAAATGATACCAATGTTAGAATATATCAAGAAGCTGAATTTTGAACTTTGCCCAAGGTGGAATTTCAGAGAAATTTTCCAGTTATGCACCGATATTGGATATGTTACATTGCTATAGCAAGGCATCTGCTCTTGGATCAAATGATATACATGATAGATGAGGCTGATAAAAACAAGAGCATGAATCATTTAACAAATGCAAACGGACGAATTTCTTTGAGACATGATTTAAAAGTAGTACTTGATAAAGATATTCATGTCTTCAAATGCAGGGAAGTCTCATTGAATTCCACATACAGGAGATATTTTAAAACACCAGGTCAAATCCAAAGTGCTTGTTGATGTACATAATTAAGTTTGGCCAGCACAGGCCTTACTGATCTATAAATAACTGGCCTGCTATGAAATTTTAAATAGATGACAGCTTTCTATATACAAGAAGCACTAAGGTACAATCAGCCCCCTTAGAGGTTTGGTTTATTTAATTACAGCAAAGCATACTAAAGCTATCTGCCTGAGAGATGCCTTCGTGAAGGATTTTCTAAGGGAAACTGGCTCATATACACATTATACATGGGAAAACCCATAAAAATACCCATGCAGCCAGCCCATTCGCAGGATTCGGATCTAACTACTAATGTTCAGAGACTTTACCACTCGGCCACTGGTGGGCCCCCCCTTAGAGGAATTCAACAAGACTTTCAGAATATTCATAATTTTTAAACATTACTTTTTTACAGAGATGGTACAAAAAGCAAAGCAAACTTAGTGATAAAATAGCACCCATACAAATTTTCTCCCTTTTTAACAGGAATCTATATGTCATGCAAATTAAGTTCAAGATTAGAATGAGGAATCTTGCAACAAATGCACATATATTCTCCTGTGGCCATTTAAACATTTTTTCCGAGATGTTCTCCATCTTCTCTGGAGATATTTCAGGTCTACATACTCGCAGGCTTACAACACAAAGCATTCCATGGACTGTTAGAGAAAGCTATTTTAAGTAAATTAATTTTTAAGCTAACTAGAATTACACTTAGTACACTGCCACGAGCCACACCCTCTTCTTAACTAAGTGTCAGAGTACACAGCCAATCTTCACACAAAACTTTCAATCCTGCAAGAACACCAAGGAAGCCGTATCTTTGTGGTATCGAGGTTCTCTATATAAAAAATATATATAAACTAAAGTGATTTCTTTTTACAAGTGCTTTATGGATACCAGTTTCCAACAGCAGCCTATCTTTTTTTAAATCCATTTCGATAAGGAGCCCTTAACACATTAGGCCTGACCATCTCCTCAAGCAGTTTTCAAAGACGAGTGCTTTATGGATACCAGTTTCAAACAGCAGCCCATCTTTTTTTAAATCCACTTCGATAAAAAGAAATGCAACTATTTGTCTCTTAACACACTAGGCCTGACCATCTCAAGCAGTTTTCAAAGGCAACTAGTTAAAGCAATGCAGCAGTAACTAGGATTCATAAGGTCTTTTTTTAATTTTGGGAAATAAAACCTGTCCCTCCCATACACATTGGAAAATATATTCCTTCTATAATCTGTAGGAAAGAAAGAGGAAGGCTGTCAATGACTTAAAAATATACGATGAAGTTGTTTTCTTATTATGTTTTCTAAGCCTAATTTGAAATGGTTAAAATGTTTCAAGAGAAAATATTCCAGTAGAATATGATGAATGCCAAATTACATTTTGCATTTGCTCCTCTTGACTTTCAGAAGATTATCATAAGTCAGGTCATAGTGACGAGTTCTCAAACAAATTATAAGCACTTCTTTCTTCTTACTTAGCATAGACTGCTAACACTTTTTGCTTGATCATCAATACATCTACCATTTATTGAAAAAGCCATTTATTAAAAGGAAGGTATTTTAACTCAAGATAACTAATGCCATCAGGACCAGGATATGCATTATCTCCTTGTCTGCAACAAAGCTCTTTTCAATGTCAGCATTGTTAGATTTTGATTACAAGTTCAGGAGCGAGAGATTTGAAATCAACTGGCTGTTTTTTT